ACCTCGTCGGGCCCCAACGCACAGAATGGGTTGATCTTGTGCAAAAGTTAACGAATGTCCTCCACCGTGATTGTTGGCTCTTCGGTAATCCAGACACAAAGTAGCCCAAAGTAGCAAATCAACGGCTTCGTGCGTTTCTTCAGCCAACACGTATTCGGACTTTGCAGTGTTCCTCAAAACTTTGATGGTTAACAGTGTTGTTTTGCTTTCAAATGTAGTGTTCCTGAGCACATATGCTGATCCATAAGGTTCATAATCTGCCGAGGTTTCGATAAATTGAACATCACAAATCCTGCTACTCTTGCCAATTATAAATATTCTTGACGCTGTCACGATGCAGATGGTTGCTGTCTTGGATTCTGATGAACATTTTTTAAGAAATTGTTGACTGCCCGGTTTTCTTTCGTCATAGTTCCCGATACACCACCAACTGAACAGACGAAAGACTCCTACGCCATGGTTTTGCGCGCTGCTGGCGAAACGACATCACCGCTCGATTCTTTCATAATGCAGTCGTGTTCCGGTTTCTTCCTGTCTTTATTACGCGATCTGGCAGCTTAAGTTCCGGTGCAAACAATAGACACCCGCCCATGTTATGACACTGTTACTTTTAATCGTTTGTAACGCCTGAACTTTTATAGACGCAGATATGTGACGTAGCACTTTAACAGAATTTCGCCACGTTATTGAGGTTTAATTTGTTCGGTGTTCCAATTTTCTATTTCATCCTTCTCTTCAGATTAAAATCGTCAAATTCTGTTGTGAAACAATGAGTTGAGGGCTCTTATGTCAACCGTTTTCCTTTTGTTTGACAAATTTCGTTGCTTGCCCGGAGATGGTCATGGTTTGTACCTCGGAAGCTGCATCTAAGTGCGGGATCAAATGACTGAATATAGTTGGGTACAGTATGGTGATTCCCGATTCACTCCTCATTATAGTCAGTTTGTTTCTATGGCTCATCAGACATTGCGGGAATTTTCGCTCGCTTTAGGTCCCTTGATTTCGCAGATTCATTTTGCAGTTCACTGAGCTACCCGAGTTAATGAGGCTTAAGGATTTAATATTTTCGGACCCGGGAGTACCTCACTCACGTTTTCGTAGGCTCGCCTGGGCACCTGCACTCGTCCCCTGGATAGCATTTTGAAGTTTTTCTGATCATATTTCAAATTTTTTGGTGATTTAGCGTTGGTCTATGGCCCATTGTGTGTTTTACCCGCTTATGCGGGCAGTCATGGAGAGTGGTCAGCTACCGTGGCGCGTGGAAGGGCGGAAGAACCATGTCCAGAAATTGGCTTTGTCGTGTAATGACTGAGGGGCTGCCAATGTATTTAAATTTTTGTACCTTCAGTGAGTTGACACCTCAATGGAAAAAATTCCATGCGTTTGCTTGGTGTGGCTAGAGCTTTTAGGTTCATCAGAAAGAGGCTGATCACCGTGCAAGAAGGCTGAGTCGGTTTACTGCTGGGTTGTCCTACTTGGAGATTCCATAGCTTGTGAGTTATACGTAAGCGCAATGCACGATTTTTTTAGATGGTCAGTTTCGTCTGACCAAAACGTACAAAAATAAAACACCAGGCACCAGAAAATCAGGTGGACAAGAGCGCAAACAAAACCGACAAATGGCCCAAGCAAACGGGAACAGGAAACGAAAAATAGAAAAAGTACGAATGTGGCGGTTTGCTATCGTTGGGGCAAGCGTTCTGCAGGATAACGTAACCGGACAACGATCTACCGGACAAGGAAGACAATCTGATATCTCGTAAAATTGTGGGGACTTTTTGTGGCATTCAGTGCAAGCCATGTTGAGTGTCCGGCCATATTTTGCCTCCCCAATTATTATGGCCCTGTGATGGCGTCGCCCTAGTTGTTGATGAGTTTGTTGGTTTTTTTAGGACAGGCTGCTTGTTAACTAACACCTTAATTGCGGCGAGTCGAAAGAAAAGAGTGCCCTGCTGAAATTCGAGACACAGTTATCGGAAGTACAACAGAATATTGCGACCAAATATTTAGAGATGCTGGCCGTCCATGTCATCTGGGATTACCGCTTCAGATGCCGACATTTACTGGTAAGTCGATGAATATGTACGTTTCGCTCACTGAGGGAGACGACTGGCCATCAGTTAGCGCCAAGCTCTGCAAATGTCAGTGGCATGTATTTAGTAGTATCTATTGGTAGCTATTAGCAGTTAGCCTTTCTAAACAAATTATTTATCTCCCTATAGTGCATGATGGGCGCGCAATGCCACATCATAACTGATAAGGAGGCCACGTAAGAGCTGGCCGTCAAAATGTGTTCGACTGAAACTAAGCTAGGTTATGGCAGGCCCGACGTTTAGGTAGCACTTACAGTCAATTGAAACGCATGTATTTGTCTTGTAGGCCACTTTCAACTACTTAGAAACCACTTCCGAATTCCATTACACTGCCAAGTTTATTAAAAAACGATTAGGGTAACATTTCCCGGGGGCCGAGCACTTGGATTTTGATTATACGCAAGTGCACTAACTTGATTATGTGGGCACACAAAAACGAGGACACTGAGATCATATGTTGAATAAATCACCTTCCGAACTCTAAGGACTAGAGAGCTGAAATGACAGCCTCACACTGAATTTTAGAGGAATCACTGGTCAAATTGCTGAGTTTTCTTCATGAGGATAAGGTTTTCTACTAGCTGCTCCGTTCTTTCTTTTGATGTTCACATTCTGGATCTTATTCCGTGGCATCTGGCGCAACGCGAAAGGTGGCCTAATACAGATCACATTCCCACGTCTTCGGAGGCATTAGTCCACCAGCAACAGCTGGTTTGGTGTTACATTAGTATTTGACGTACTCATGTGCAGTTTGAAAAATACGCATCTTGATTTGTTGTTGTTTTGGTGTGTATGTATTCCAGCAATGCGGCGGAGAAAACCCAACTTTCAGGGGGATGAGTTCCGCCACATGCTGCGATGGACATGCAGGAAGCTGGAGCTGGGAACGATGTCCAACTAAATTTCGACCTCTTCACAGTGGGTCTACTGCGTGGAATTCACGCAACGGTTTATTTGTGACCCCTCTTCCAGAATCAAAGCACACAGATGCCAGTGTTTGCGGTGTTCTCATTAATACTACTTGTGCACAGTGCATTAGAGAAGCCCAGAAGCGAAAATTGCCCCGGACAGGGACTTTGTAACAACCCGTGAGCCATAGCTCAGTGTCTCCCAACACAGCACACTGGATGGATACATTACACTGCACACCATTTCCGTGAAATTTTAGTGCCGCCAGACAGATTTCCGGGTAGAATATCATGGGAAGACTTCCAAGTTCAAAGCAGTATATTTCCTGTTCCACTTGATGCTAGCAACCTGTCAGTACATGCGACCGCAAAGCGAGGTGGCTCAGTTTGAGGACAAGCACTTTCCTACGGAAACGCGTTTCTTTGTTTGTAGCCGTAAATGTGTAGAATACTCTGTTTCAAAATCCCACTTTCGGCCAAAATACAGCTAGGTTCTCTCTGAGTATGGATAGAAGCGACATTCTGGGTGCCACCGAAATTTTACATCTTGTGACGCTGACTAACTCTATGTAGCCTTCTTCGCAGCATGCATGCCATGGCGACAGCAAACAAGTGATTCTCACGTTCTCTCAGTCTGCAAACGTATGAAACATAAACCAGCCTTGGGTAGCTCATACTCATCAGAGACAGTCCTTGTTGTTTTTGGGCGATTCTGGTATATTTTTCGTGGTTGCGATCCATCATTTTGCAAAATAGCTCTTGTTAAGCTACCAAGCTAAAATACGCATACACATGCGGTCAAGGTCAGCTAAGATCCCGGGTGAAACAAACTACATTTGGAGGCTTGGCAACGGACCTAACCAGAAGTTTGATTGATCACCTACCATGAAGTCCGCAGAGAGCGCCCGTTCAAATTGGGGTCCTACTGAATGAACAAGCGAGGTGTATTTTTTATTATTCCAGTATCCTCTCCTGTTCTCTTGCGGAAGAATCGGTTGGCCATGAAAATATCGATATTTGGAAGCCGGAAACTTAGACTGGTTTTGGGGCTATCCTTCAGCAACATTATTCTTACGGGCACCCCATAATGGCAACACTCATGACGGCGTAAGTAAATGAAATATACAATTCAGCCCAAGGGTTTTCAAACCGAATCCCGAAATGAGTTTACCATGGTATGTTTGGTGTAGTAGCAAATCTATGGCCAACTAAGTCCCCTAAGTAGTGTGAGTTTGATCTACATTGATTATTTCTGCTATGAGAGCAGAAATAATGGAATCAATAATACCTGCATATGTCTGGTCTGTTGCCGTAGGTGCACGATGCTTCTTTCAAATTCCGAATTTTAAATCACGCGGCTAACACCCGTCAATACGGTGTCCAATCAGGTTCGAGATTTCAGATCCGTCCGGAGCTGTTTGCGGCTAGCGGAGGACCAATTTTACTTACGTGCTGCCAAAATGACAAAGGTAGCAGAGCCCAACCCTCAATATTGGATATATTCAGTCAAAAGAAGTACTGTGGGTTCGGTAGGGGTTCAGTAGATTTCCGTTGATCATATAACAGGATAATAGCAAATTTTGAAGACATCCCGTGACTGTTTCAAGCCTCTGCCGGGTCGGCAACAATGGACCACTACCTACGACGACCAGTTTTTCCTCTTCCTACACTATGAGTGATTCCATCATCATACCAGATGAAGGCAGTACAGAACTGATGAAGCCCGAACTGGTAACTGTCTCGATTCTCACTGTTGAACAAGTTCTTGTCGAACAAACTGATGGACCGACGTAGTTCTTCAGCCATTCCCTTTGAAAGGACTGGAATCGAGTAAAAGCGGCAGCGCTGGTTCCCACACTAGATGTTCTAGGTATGACCCTGGGAATTCCTCTCTATTGGACTGTTCGCGCTTCTTAAACGGAGAATTTTTTGTTGTCCCATCTACCCGAAGGACTCACCAGCATGAGTGCACCAGCACAGGAAGACCGTTCTTCAGACGAGAGTCATTGGAATTTTTAGGTCTCGCGCAAAGATGTTTTAGTGCTCATGGCCGCCATCCGCAATGGGGCGCTATGGTGGCTAATATTGAGGCCTCATGTTTTCATTCCACATAAAAGATATGCCTGGTAGATCGAGAAGTGAGTCTTCTCTCTTACGTAAGGTTCTAGACCGTGGAGATTAATTTTATTCCCGGCAAAGGGCCGTTCCATACATTCTTTGTAATGGATGACGGCATGTAGCTTGTCCTAACATCAATGCAGACATATAGTGTGTCTGCTTCGGACTGCCTCCTCGTTCGTAAGCGTATTTTGCAGTGCCTAATGAATTGTGATTTTCGACCCCATCATTCGTTGAAGTTCGACACGCAAACTGCTGCGAAGCACTAAATTGTGTGCATTTTCAGGACCCAGTAAACACGTCACCGCGGCACCACCGGTGGCAAATAGGGGTGGCATGTTACGCTTGCCACCGGTGGCTAAAAGCGGCCAAAGGTGGCAACCCAAAAATTTGATGATATATTTAATCGGTGGTGCATTCAAAAAATCGGTTTCAAAAATTGCTTCGTAAATAGGGCTCCAGTATCCAGAGTATCCTGTTACATTTGTTTTCAGAAGGCTTTTATGCAACAAATGCTATATTTGGCTTGTATTCACCAACAAAATTAGTGGCAAAGCTAGCCGCCTTTGGCCACCGTTAGCCACCGGTGGCACTGTGTTTACTGGGGAGTTATGCGGCAACTCCGAGCGGGCGGCCGCCCTTGTGAATTATTGATAGGCGATAGGTGATAGATGAGCGCACCACCAAATTTCACTGAACCTCATTGATCTGCAAGTGGTAGAGAGGGTAGTTCCTGTGCATGATGTTGATCCTTCACTCTTGCACTTCGTATAGCAGATCAACGCTCTTAATCTTCATGGCGTGATGACAAAGTAAACCATAAAATTGTATTTATTTGCACACCACAATGACTTTTTGTTGCGCTCTATTTTGACAGTGTAGAACAAAAAGGTCAAAATTGGTCAACGGGATTAGTTATTGCAGATCGAATCGGTTTCGTACTGGTACTGTTCTACATAGCTAAAGTAATTGGGCAGTTGTGGAGATCAGGAGAGGAGGCTCTTTGGAGGTGCTGGGCCACAACCCTACAGGTGACCACCTCAGATAAAGTCCATAAAAGTCGTGATGATGCCGGATTGCCGCACGGAGAATGACCTGCAGTTTAAGTGCGCACACGCGGTCTCGCAACCTGAATTGACGCCTCGTTCACCGGAAGCAGAAACCGCGCGGCACACTGGATGGTATCACCGTCATACCAAGTAATAATGAGTTAGACCAGCTTGGAAGTCTTGGAAGATGCTTGAGCTCACAATATTCCAGAACCTATAGGTCAGGACCGTTTGTGAGACTGAATAATGACAAAGTAGTGGCAAAGAATTTTATCTCTGACCCGGTTCAGAACCACTCAGAGAAAAGCCAAAACTTCTGAAGTTCTGTCCAATTGCCCCGCCGCACCCGACCTACTGCTTTCCAAGAACAGAATGTTAAAAATAGAACAATAATAGAATGTTTCACGTCTCAGTGGCATTCACAGAATCTTGGTTGAATCCAAGGGAACAAGTCGGCACGACCATCGCTATTGAGCCATATATATCTGTTTACATTCATCTCGAATTAGTGTTTGCCGTGGGCATATTGGTTAGAATTGTTTTCCTGTCCTTTGCTCTGTCTTTGGTATCGAGGAATTTCTATTGATATCCGTTGAATTCTGCGTGGTATCTCTGTTCTTCTATGCGACTTGTCTTCCTATCAAAGTCGCCATGTTATCGCCGGTTTTAAGTCACACATCCACGGTTTCGAGCCGATTTACCCAAGAATGCAACGCCCTTATCTTCTTGGGACTCGTCTTCCAGAATGCCGGATACGTGCCGCTTAGCACGTTGCACTTCCCTCAGACTTTCTTGGTGATCACCGCACTATGGTTACTCTGTCCCAAACGCTCCCCAATATTGTGGCCGCCAGTAGCATTGAAAACTTTGTGAAAACCAGGCCTAGTACCGAAGCGCGTTGACTTGTATCCCTCCTCATTGTTTGCGCGACATGTTACAGTGGGTATCTACCATTTCCTCAAGTGGTAGCTTTTCTTGTTGTGGTACGTATCCCAGTCAGCTGTAAGTGTGGGTGTTTTGGAAGCTGCAGTCCCTTGTGTTTAGCACGCGACTGTTTATACTATTGCTTTTGAAAGGTCGGATGGCCGCAACAGAGTTAATTGGTCCCTCTAGTACAGCAACAGCAGCACCGATCATTATCCTCGGCATCATAGCATCGTTTTTTGAAAAAATCGTTCAGCTGTAGCACCCTTTCGGTGCCTAACAGTCATGCCACCCGAATTTTGCACGACGTTTCCCAAGCCTAGAGAGTGAAAGTCGAGAGGCAGAGGCCGAGTTCGAACCACGGACCTTCCGGTCGGTAGATTCGCGCTCTAACTATTTGGGCCATCTTACCCCAGTATCGTTGTTTAAATGCTGGTGTTTTGCTGTTACACGGCCACAATTTACTCTAAGAAACTAATACAGATGCGTTAGGCGGGACCTAGTGTTAACCTACCACAATCATTCGAATGTGTCTACACCTTCAGACATTCGTTCAGACAGTCTGAACAGAAAATATTGACAAGAACGCCACTGACATCGATTAGCAGCCTTATCTTACAGCCTCTGTAGCCATGTTCACAAGGGTTCATCCGGACATCATCCTGGAGGCCGAGAAGCTCCGACAGTACCCAACCTTCGTAACCTAAAGTAAGCCGTTTGACGGCCTGCGACTTGGGGATTCGTGCATTTACCTCATCTATCACGTTACATTCGTAACTCATAAGACCTTCCAGATTCACAAACGCATCAAGTAGCTCTTCTTCGATTGTAATTGGGTTGTTCAGCTGCTCCGTGTCTGTAGGTGTAGACGACCAGTGCTTACGAGAATTGGGTTGGGGAATATTCCCGCTGGGTGTCGTTCACAACTTGAGCTCGAGATGGCTCAGTGGCTAAGGCGGAAATTACAAACCGGAAGGTTTGTAATTGGTTCGAACCCGACCTCTGCATCTTGTCTGCTTCTGTCTAGGCTTGGGTGACCCGGCAGTAAATCAGCCCTCGTGCTTCCTTCGGGTGGCATGGCGCCAGGTACCGAAATGGTGCCACAACTGAACCATTGTTATTTTATTTGATTGATCCATGTAGGTTGCGAAGCGCCATAATGTTTAGTTTTTGGGTTGGTGAGCTTAAAGTGGACTTAAATCTGCTCAGGCTTCGTATCTCAGGTTGTTTGCTTTATTCCCCTTGCATTTCATTAAGCATTCTCCATTTTGCATCTAAGCACGTTCGTATTATTAGTCTAGCGAATCAGCTAATCACTATTCTGGATCCAGTTTTCATCTCACGCTCGATTGAGGCCTTATGCAGTCTTGACAGCTTACTTGACTGGTAGCACGTATGATTATGCACCAATGTACACGGCAGAGGACCATTACGATTAATCGTGACGTAGACCCAGATCGTTTCACTGATAACCGCGCACCACCATATGTTGAATTGGCCAATCTAAAACTGATATCCACATGCTTGCCTTTCATTAGGTTCACACTGGAGTTCTCGGTGATTTCCCCCGACTCAGCTACCAGTTATCTTAGTTCCCGTCCCAGTATGTCAACTTTTTTTTAATACATCCTGTGTCCAACATTGATTGCCGTTTCTGAGTCTCTACTTATCACCGGAAAAGGTGTGGTTTGTTTGTGCGCTACTTATACTTGCCCATGCTGGTGTGCAACTCTGGTTGTTTTTTCTCTGTAGACCTCGCGGTTTTGTATACACAACCCTGAGTCCCATCAGTCCGGAGAGGACCTTTCAATTACACGAATTCCGGGCGTAAAGCTTTTTCCTTCTGGAGTGCTATTGTCCGTATTGGAGCCAATACTCGCCTTAGTTGCCGCCTAACTAAACCCACTGCGTGTCCGCTTTCTTGTAGCTTTTTTATCCCAATTTGTGCTGATATTCGGTCTACCTTTTTATTCTCTTACTCAGCTAAACATTCCTGAAATTGTGCCGGTGTATGCTGCCTTTGGATTTGATGAGTAGTTTAAGACACAAGTGTCCGTTGGTTTGTGGTCTTTAGTTTTCGGCCACATTTATACATCGTACAATCCAGGAAGGCTTGTTGAGTACGACGAGGGTCGGAGTAATTGAATAATGCCTCTCTGTTGCGCAGGATATACGGCCGTGTCCGCTGTTGTTGTATAACCAATGGGTGTTCAGAAGAATTCGACACTTCACTTCACTAAGCAGAGTCAGATAGTTCCGGCTTAATAAATGAATCAGCGTTGGACTCCGGTTGCTGCTGTTCGGATGCTGGAGCACATCCGAAATCTGCTGAATGCGCCAGGTGGCGTAGGGAGACCGTTTATTCCATGCCGTTGGGGTGTCTGACATATGCGTACTCAGGGTTACATTCCAGGAGCTCAACCTCTTCGACTAGGGGGTCGTACTTTGAAGATCGTGTGTTTCGCCGCATCAAAACTGGTCCTGGCGAAAGCAACCACTGTGGCAAGGACGTACCGACTGCGGATTTTCGATTGTGATGAAACATCCGCTCGTGTGGAGTAGCATTGGTGGCCGTGCACAACAAAGAACGAATCGAGTGGAGAGCGTCTTGTAAAACGGCTTCCCAGTGACTGATTTGAAGACCCTTTGATCGTAATGAAAGCGTAATAGCCTTCCACAAAGTTCCATTCAATCTTTCCACCTGGCCGTTCCCCCTTGGATTATATGGAGTGGTCCGACTGGTGGCTACACCTTTTTCATGAAGAAATCGTTTGATCTCATCCGAAATGAATGATGAGCCACGATCCGAATGCACGAAACTTGGCAGGCCAAATGTGGCGAACAGTGGCACAAGGCATGATATCACCGTAGACGAACTGATATCTGGACATGCATAGGCGAACGGAAAACGGGAATATTCGTCTACGATCGTCAGTAGATATTTGTTTCGAGTCGTCGAAGGCAGTGGTCCCTTAAAGTCAATGCTTAAGCGTTCAAACGTTTGTGTGGCTTTAATGAGGGTACCGCCAGATGACTTGAAGAAACGTGGTTTTAGTTCCGCACACACTTGACACTGCTTAATGACGAGTCGGATATCCTCTAGGGAGAATGGTAGATTCTTGGCACGAACGAAATGCATCATGCGTGTTGCTCCAGGATGACACAGGGTTGTGTGTAAGCGTTTTAGATCCAGGTTAGATGAAGTGTTCGCACAGACACTTCGAGAAAGCGTGTCAGCAGCTTTGTTTTCTATGCCTGGTCTGTAGGTAACGTCAAAAGAAAAAGGCGACAACTCCATCCGCCACCGTTGGATTTTGTCATTTTTTATTTTCCCTTTTTGTTGTGTTGAGTACATGAATGCAACGGATCGCTGATCAGTTATAATTTTGAAATGGGTCCCGAGTAGGTAATGCCTCCATTTGCGCACTGCTTCGACAATTGCGCAAGCTTCTTTCTCAATAGCGGAATGGTGTTTTTCGCTGGCAGACAGTGTACGTGAGAAGAATGCGACCGGTCTGCCATCTTGATTGAGTGTAGCAGAAATCGCGACATCAGATGCATCAGTTTCGAGCACCAAAGGTATTCTCGGGTCGATAGTGACCAAGGCTGCATCCATCAACTCCTTTTTCAAACTTTCAAATGCTTTTATAACAGATTCAGGGACAGGAAAGGTTGTATTGTGAGTGATTGGGTAGATCTTATCCGAGAAACGGCTTATCCAACGAGAATAGTACGCGAACAATCCTACCACTCGTTGTTGAGACTTGATGTCGTTCGGAACGGGCAGTTCTTGCAATACCTTGAAGCGTTCAGGGTCTGGTTTGATGACACCTTCAGTAATTTCATAGCCGAGGAGTCTGAGCTTAGTGGTGGAAATCGTGCTTTTATCGTGATTTAACTGAAGGCCGTACTTTTGTGCTACGGTGAGGAAAAGCTGGAGGTTTCGATCATGTTCTTCTTGATTCTTTCCACAAATGGTAACATTATCCACATACGCATATGTCCCGGTAAGTTGTTCGGCGCGTATTATGTCATCCATTACCCTTTGAAAACAGGCTACCCCATTCGTTACTCCGAAAGGTATTCGACGGAACTGATAGAGGTTGTTGCAAGCCTCAAAAGCCGTGTAGATTCTGTCGCTTTCTTTAATGGGTATTTGATAATACGCACTTTCAAGATCAAGCGTGCTGAAAATACGATATTGAGCTATTTTAGTACTTAAATCTTCAAGTCTGGGGAGCGGATAAGCGTCTAGTTGCGTAAATCGGTTTATAGTTTGACTATAGTCAACCACCATTCGCTTCTTCTGTCGTTCATTTGTCGTGACGAGCACTTGCGCTCTCCATGGGGACTTCGAGGGTTCAATGATGTGTTGGTCAAGTAAACGCTTTACTTCAGAAGCAATGAAGGCCTCGTCGTCTGCAGAATGTCGCCTGGACTTTATGGCGATTGGCTTGCACCTTGGGTCAATATGCTCGAACAAAGTGGGAGGTTCAATTTTGGCAGCAATTAGGCCACAAAGGGAAAAAGAAGGTTTGTCACCGTTGAATGAGATTTCCAGGGACTTATGAAGCTTAAGAAAGTCATGTCCTAGCAAAATATCTGCACAGAGGTCACGTAATACTGAAAACTTGAAAGAGGGATACTTGTTTTGTTTGTGTTGCAACGTTAAAAAGCAATGTCCAAGAGTAAAGCTTTTGTGCTGGATAGATGCCAAAGTTATCTCAGATGACGATGGTAGTACAGACCACTTGTTACGACGGACTACCTTTTCGGAAATGAAACTTTCTGAGCTACCAGTATCAACAAGAGCTCGAAGCGGGACACCATTGGCTTTCACATCGGTGACTGCTTCTTTTAGACACTCAGGAGCCGCTGCAGTGACGCAAGATAGCGCACTTGAAACAGATGAGGTGTTCCGCGGACCAGTAGATCTGCATACCTTTTGAAAATGCCCTTTCTTCCCACAGTTTTTGCAGGTCGCATCTTTAGCGGGGCATTTATATCTCGGGTGACGAGCATAGCCACAGAAGAAACATGAAGACCCCACACTGGCAGCAGTCGCCTGCTCGTGCGATGACGTTTGAGAACGTGGGGACTTTGGCGGGTCGTTCGATACGGTGGCACAGGGAAGTTGAGTGTTCGGCAAAAACGACAACGACTGTTTTTGCGCTAGTTCGAGGGACTTTGCATGGTCGTACGCGGTTTTAAAATCCAGCGACTTATGTTCCAGCAGTCTCTGGCGTATAGTATTGGAATAAAGTCCGCTAATAAACGCATCTCGCAACGCTTCATCGGTATGCTGTTCTGCACTGACGGCTGTAAAGCGGCAGTCTGGCAATAAACTGCGAAGCTTCTGCACAAACTGATCAAGGTTCTGAGCTCCGTCCTGTTTACAAGTGTTCAAAAGATGCCGTGCAAAAACTTCATTTTTCGGCTGTACGTAAATTTCTCGCAAGGTTTCGATGGCTGATTCATAGTCTTTGCAGTCTTTGATGAGACGGTAAACACTAGGGGAGACGTAATTGAACAAGGTTTTCAGTTTATCTGGTGAATGAGAAGCGATTGACTCTAGGAAGTTTGTGAAAGTACAAAACCAATGCTCCCAGGTATCAGCCGAGTCTTGAGTATTGGGGTCGGTATCGAATCGCTCAGGACGTAAGAAACGATCCATTGTTCGGAGGAAACTTTTTTGGATGAATAAATTGTTGAGTACGACAAGGGTCGGAGTGCAGCGACAATCAGAATGACAATGGAAAAGACTGAGGACCCGAAAGCTAGGCTTTATTCATCCAAAACTTTGACACTGAGAGCTGAAAACGGAAGAAAGTGATTTAGCAACAAATGATGAAACGTTTGAAAAACAGAGCAAATATATAACAAGGCTGTATACCCCAAGTTGGTTCTAGCTGGACGCTGAGCTCAATGTATGGACCAGCGTAATTCATCAACTTTACCCCGCTTGATCACAACGAAAGCGTTGTCCACGAGGCTTCGAAAACCCAAATTCCTCCAGCAGTTTCTGGAACAGCGACAATTCTTCCAGCTACCAACAATGATGATCTTCCTCTACTTAAAAGTTCCTTTTTCCTGTGGACCGTCAGGCACTATGGCAATGTCTATAGAGCAAACATGTGCTCATAAATTTTCGGCCCTCTTTGAGACGTTGGGCGCCGGGTGCATGAAGGTCTACGGGAAACACTCGCCCGAGCTCACTACATCAAGTGGTACCAAGCAAAGCTGTCCCCTTCCACCCTTCCTCTTCAACTTCGCCTTCCATATGATCACTCCGTGGATCACTTCCATGATCCACTCCCTCTAGTTCCTGTGGATTCGAAATGCCCCCAGGGTATTTACTCACAGATATCGAGCACGCAGACGATATAGCTGTTCTTTGATCTGGTGCTGTGGTAATGCAAAAATATTTAGAAGTCTAAATAGTTCTGTCTCAGAGCTTGGTATACGGTTCACACCTGCAAGGTAGAGTGTCGCCGGGAGAGTAGGTGGGATGGAATCCGAGCCTAATGCTTGGTCACCATCATCACCATAGACATCAACATCACTCTTGACACTGATGCTTTACTGCCGTATATCTGTAAATGTCATGGTTTTACAAGGGCTGGGACAGTTCCAGGGCGCCCACACCTAAACAGGAGGACGACTGGATCCTCAACCAAAGCCTTTGGCTCAGAAGCCTAACCGCAAGGCAACGATGTTGACTGTCTCCATGTATCCTGGGTTTTGTTTCACCTGTCTTCCACTTCAAATAATGGTCCAGTGGCCATTAATTTCCATTCTATGACCAGCATGCTTAGATTTCAGTAGCTACCTGATCTGTAGCCAAGCTAAGACCATCAGCAGGCTGGAGATCTAGTTTTTTGCCTCACTGTACTGGAACCTATCTTCATTAAAACAACAATTTAACGTAAGTGTACATTTTGGAGTAGCCACTAATTTGGCTTGTGCCAGTTAGTTTCCATATTCCAGTTGTTGTTCAGTTCAGCAGTCGGATGTCTTAATTAACCTCACTTTGCTTGGGCTTTTTAAGGCTCACTCATATTGTGTCCTTATGTCGTTTTCTTATTCTAGACCTATACTCTCAACTGCCCTACGTCCTTCCTGTCTTAAAAAGACCTAAATCATGCTCCCCGGATTTCTAGACAATATAATCCTGCTGTGCGATTCTTACAAGGTGGGTGATGTTATCGTTCTATATGCGCCTCACAAGGTCAGTCATTATGCCCAGTATCCACCAGGAACAGAAACGATCTATTCATACTTTGAAAGTCGTGGAGGAAAGTTTCCACATACCGTCTTTTTCGGATTGCAGTATGTCTTGAAACGAGCCCTCGTTGGCTCAGTTGTTTCACATCAGAAGATCGACGAGGCGAAAAAACTGTTTGCAGACCACTTCGGTAGGGAGATTTTCAACGAAGCTGGATGGAGGCATATTGCCGATGTATGTGACGCTTTTTCTTTCAATTATTTGCTTCTCTATAGCATCACAAAGGTTACCTGCCTCTGCGGATCAAAGCGGTACCGGAGGGATCAGTAATCCCCACACGTAACGTTTTATTCACGGTTGAAAATACAGACCCCAAGTGCTACTGGTTGACAAATTATGTTGAGGTTAGTGCTTTGCTTGCTTGGCCACATCTTATGCCTCCCTTTAGACCATACTTGTGCAGGTATGGTACCCAATCGCTGTGGCTACAAATTCAAGAACGATGAAACAACTGTTGGCCAAGTACTTACTTGAGACCTCCGACAATCTGGATAGCTTGTTCTTCAAGTTGCATGATTTTGGATTCCGTGGGGTTTCGTCCATAGAAGTGAGTTGCTGTGATGTTTTTCACACGACAACTTTGCGCTTAAGAGGTACAGCGCAAGAACCCGTTTGGAAAGTTTCTGGATGCACTTTCGACGGGCTTTTAATGTTTTCAACACTTTGCCGTTGGATCTACTCTAAACTGCCCTTTTAGAGTTTTTACTGAACCCCATGCGGGCAGTCTAGTTATCTTGGGAACTTTGTTAATCTTTCATTTGCCTTACCCCATTCATGTTGATCGTGCTCGAAAGGCGAGCTATTTCGGGATATACTACTAAGACATCTGTATATCTCAGTTTTGAGGTTGAACCTCGACTCATGCGTGACGCAAAATGATGGTTACCATGTTGGCTTTTTCCAAGCAACACAGTGGGATGTGAGATTCAGTGAATCTAGATACATCCTATCAGAAGATCCTTCACTAGCTATGATTGAGTGGGATTTCGACAGCGATACTGATTTGGGTGCCAACTGCGGCTCCGACAAGCGAACTCGCAGAGGTCTCTTCGTAGCTACTGGTCGGCCTAGAAAAGATGGCATTACAACGAGCGTCAGTGCTGCATCAATCAGATGCAGGTATTCTCTGTGTCGGCCTCTTCAACTGCCCGTATTATCGTTGTTTGTGCGGTCCGATGCTATATAATCGTAATAGTTATAATCACTATAAACAGCAAACCACCACCAATACGTTCTACCATTGTGAGGTAAAAAAGCTTCAGAAAAGAGTGGAGAGACTGTGCTTCTCCTCAAGCAATTCGCGCATGCGTTTCGGTGTTTCAAATAAATAATCACAACGATATAGTGGGACAGCCGACTTGATTTTTACGCATTCTGGAACTACTCGTCATTAGTTGCACGTAACCTATAAGAGTGATTGGTCGTTGAAGTTCCTTTCTCGTCTAGTTACGACAGGCCAACAATGGTTGAAAAGACCCAGAAATCTGAACTGTTGGCAAAACTTCTGATAGTGGTTTCCATAGCCTGACTAATCTGTCCATTACAGACACGATAAAGTAGTTTTTGATCATTGAGTAGACTTCGAATCGGTAGTCTCATAGAGAAGGGCGGCAAATTCATTCTTCTGTATACCGGTAATTCACACCCGTTTAAAGCCGGACAACCTTCATTGATTTAGTTGCTTTATCTGTCTGTTACACTACTGTTTCTAAACGCATGGAAACTTTTGCCTAGCTGATTCTCGTTTGCCAGGATGATTGTGTTCAGATTTTACCCAATACTGTATTATTTTCATATTCGCCAAGCCGAGTGAATCGGATATGGCCGTCGTTTCAATCACTATGGCCCGTATAATTTCTGCAACTTCGCTGTTTCTGAGATTACTTGCACCTTTCACCGGAGATATCGGCCTTTCAGTAGTGACTGAAGACATAATTTAGTTTTTGTTCGGAATACATAGTTTGCAGCCAAAGTCGAAGGTACTGCGTGCATATGCAACCGATATTATCGTAGTCTTGAGCAGGATCTCATCTCATGGACTGTAAATGCTCGGTGCGCGTTTGTGCACCTATCCTGTTATCACGAACATATCAAGTTATTCTTGCTAGAAAACCGAGAAATCACACATATCTGTTTTTTAATCTACCGTAAGATTCCCCGAAAATGTCCCCGAGTACCGTTACCGACACACCAGTCACAACGTCCGGTTTAGGCAACCATGTCCAGCCACACCGCACTTTTTCTATCTTCTGTGGGTGGCTGCTTAGCTGGACTTTGACTGCGTCAATCGAGAATGTAACATATGGTTTTGATTGCTGAACCGTCGAATTACACAGCGCTTATGTATGCCAGTTTTCACATCGCCTCACAACACGCAGTCTTTAACACCTGGTCATGCACGTTTCCTTTGTTATTCTTAGTCTGTCGCTCTGTAGCCTTCGGTTAATTTCGCTTGCTGTGTATTTCCACACGTACACGCACATAGGTTCTTGACTTTTCACGCCCTCATTTACAGTCCGCAGCTCTTGGTGGAGCAGCACATTTGGTCAACTTTCGGGGAACCGATACTTTAGCAGGAGTCATGCTCGCTCGGAGTTTTTACCACTGTCCAATGGCTGGGGTCAGTATCCCGGCCACCGAACACAGGTTAGTTTTTTGTCGAGCTTTTTTACCCACGAACTAGGCAAAAACATTGGCTACCCTCAGAACCATCTTACTTGTGCTTTATTATGTGTCATCACATTATGAATGAAAGGGTTGGGACAAACCGAATTAATGCTCCCTACCAGTATTTCACCCCCCTTTGAGGGTTATCCACTCAATCCAGTGGTCTTCATTTTGAGCCATCCGGTGAACATATTCTTTTTGCAACGTGACCAAAATGAGACGTCATCCTTCGTATCCGGTTTTTTTTTGCTTGAACCCACTCTTCCATATTCCGAGACCACAGCCCTTAGGTCTATCTCAATCCTTCAGTGCGAACCCCCATTAGTGATATTTAACTTCTTTCTTGTATGAGCTTTTGTGAGATTTCATAGATCTTTTTAAAACCCAAAATGACACTATCCCAAGAGCTTTACTATTAGAAATTTCTCGAAAAAACCCTCATCTCTTCATCGGAAACACCATCACTTGGTGCTATTTCCAGCCCATCTTCGGCTCAGGAACATCTGCGTATTACTAAATTTCTAGGGATGACTTCGAACCAGAGAAAACGTTGCGTTTACTGTCTATAAATCTTGAGCTAAATTGAGTTGCCAGTACAGTGCAGTGGCACTTCAAAGACTCCACAAATATGAGGAATTTCCTCTTTTTGTTTGCACATTTTATTTGATATCCACCCCGACTTTCCGGGTCTGTTATTCATAGTGGCACTAGGAACACACATGCACATGTGGCAGCCTTTCGGATCGCGTCTCGTGTGTGCGATGCAAGTGTTTAGCGTTCCTAACTTCCCACCTACTCTAGCATCATCTGAGGTCACTTCAATGCTGCTTTCCCCGTCCACATAGCTTTGGTGGTGGGTAATCGTACAAGGCTAAGTTTTTTGTGCTTACCAGATTATACAGCCTTACTTCCAGATGCTCTTGCGTTGTGTGAATCACCTTTTGGGTGTGTGTTCTCACTTGAGTGGCTGCTACCCGTACCTAACTCTACTGAGTCTGACGATCAAACCTTTCGGTCGGCAAACCACTCAGTGTTATCAATCTGCATTTGAATGGGTCAGTACAAATGGTGAATTTAAGCCCTCCTTACTATGCTTAGAAGGTCTGTTCATAATGCTGTTCCGGAATGCTTGTTTTAAAGTGACGTTTAGTGTGGCCGTTGATGGATTCGTGCTGCCAAAGGACGCTTATGCATGCTGTAACACGTTGGAGAGCCTATTGGTCGAGACCTCCGATAAGTCACTTGGAAAATAGACAGCTAGACCTCCGAAAGTCACTTGGAAAATAGACAGCTGATCCAGCAAAATTTAACATTTGCTCACGAATATCCTGTTTCTGGAGTATAAATATTCTCAACCCTGGTTACGGCAATCAGATCCGGTGATTCAATATTACCATTCATATCGATGTGGGAGGTGACACAAAAAATGTTGCTGAACCGTTTTTCGTTGGATACCATTTGAACTAATGCTGTTATTTAGATGTATCAGGTGCGACTGAGTCTAGAACGTCACAGAGGGGGCTTGGCTCATTTACTGTTGTTGGATGAGAGATGTGTGCTAAATTGGTGCAACCAAAAGTGGCTGATGGAAACGTGGTTCTGAAGCACATGATCCATAACTCTCCTTGTGGTTTGAATCAACCTGCTTGGAAAAATGTTCGACACATAAGAACAAC